AAGCTTATTCCTTTTTTGTCTTCTACTTGGAACGTTTCAATTTAGTTAAAACATTGGACATTGTTATTGTTTATATATATTGACATAACCGCACATAACAAAAATATTGACCAAAGTCCTTAACCACTTTTTATCACCTTCATCCAAAAATTGTATTTGTACGGATTTGTCAATTGAAATAAATTTTCATTATTATGTTTAATTTTGTCTTTTATCATGAATTGTTATTTTTAAATAAATAAAGATGTTTTTAACTTTAATAGGTAGGTGATACTTAGTAGAGGCCACGTGCTTCATCGAAAAGAAGACGTAGAGGGCGTATCTGCATAGCATTAAAAATTGACTACTTCATTAAATCGTCACTAGATGGCGCTCGAGATTGCATCGAACACTTTACTGTAGCATTATCCTACTATAATCTCTTCCTACAACGGTAGTAGTTAGGGAATGGTTCGATATTAACCGACTACTAACCGCAAGTAACCAGGATTTTTTGACAGCGGTTTCTGAAAAAAACTAATTTCTTGGTTTTATTTGGACCACGGCCGAGATTTACGTCACTTTTGTGACAGATGGACATTCGACTTAATAGTAACCGTAAAAATATAGCTGTTAGTGAATTGACGTTTGAGTCACCATTTTCAAGTAACCGTGTCCCTAATTTAACCGATTTTTCAGGAATGTCAAGTAGAGCGGTTAGTTTTGGAGCGAATAACCAATATTTTGGTTAATAACGGATCATACCCTTACTCAGTGGCGGCTCGTGGTAATTTGAAATGGGTGTTCACTTTTTCCAATAATTTGATCATTTTTGTAAGTTCGGCCCAAAACTTTGTACAAGAGCTAATATCGCTGTTTTTATTATTATTGGAGTTTGTAATAAATGTAGTTATTATCAACATCATACTATTTTCAAGCACTATAACTATTAATAAATGAATATTTTAGTTAGTGTGATATTTGTTTTGTTTTTAATACATTGAAAACCACCTATAATAGTATATTATGCAACGATCATGTAATAACCATTACATGAGAGTTGCATACGCTATTTTTTCTACACCCGATAAATAATCAAGACCTATAAATATTCTATTTATATTGGTATTGAACACAATAACAGTAATTACTCGTATTTCTATAAAAAATTCTACAAAATTGTAATTAATGGTATTACCTTGGGTATTGGTATTACCACAGATTTTTGGGGCAAAATATTTTGTACTGCATTTTCTCCTTTCTCCTATATGTGTGGAGGAGTCTTCTATATCGCTGATATCAGACATTTTAATATTATAATTATCGAAGTTTAGCTATCTACGAAAATTTAATACGTTTTGACAACTAAAACAATTACATAGGAATTTAGGACAAACGTCAAACATCATGCTTGATTGAAAAATTGTAGGTTTCTATTGATTAAAAATCTGTATCATAATGAAAAATCTGTATCATAATGGGTATCATTATGAAACGGATTATGGGCATATAAGTGCATTATTATAATACGGGTGTAGAAAAACATTATTAGTTAACTGACTTTTCTTCATAATTTGAGATTATTTTTAAATATATATAAGGTTATGTAGAAAGCTTGACATTGATTTTTGTGTAAAAAATATTATATGAAACTTTACCTACCATTTTTCAGTTTTTATTGTAAATTTAATCATTTTCACATTTTGTCACACATGTCAAATAAAAAATATATTTTTTAAATACCTTTTAAAATAATAACTTTTATATAAAATAAGAACTAAAATGTTTTAAATGTTTATTTTATGAGATCAGTCCTATCACAATACATACTATTACACAAATACAAACTAGAATAAAGATATATAATGCCTGGCATTCTAAATGATACTTTTCGCAGTTTAACAGACTCCCTTAACTACCCATTTTCTACCAGATAGTTTTCACAATCAATAGGCCTCATCTCCTTATAGGGCTTGATTTTTACTAAAAATGTTGATATCGCTTTTCATTTTTGATTTTTTGTTTTTAATTTTAATTTCAATCCCCTTTAAATCCCCCATATTTAATTAGATTTTTTTAAATTAAAGGTAGTGGTGGCTCGTTATATTTTAAAATATTAATTCCTCGATTAATACAGTGCAAGAAAGAAACATCAAGTTTAAATTATAGAAATAATGCAAAAACATGCTTACCTAATATAATCAGTGTCAGGTTTTTGCTCGATTCATTGGGTAGTTCAGTAGTTTAATAATAATAATAAAAGTGTTTTTTAATTTTTGCTGATAAATGAGATAATTCCCTAACACCCGTTTTTGTCCTTTCTGATTTAGTATTTTCATTGTTTGCAAAAACTAAACAAGGAAAACAAAACAAAGCATGTTGTTTATCACACCCGCACAACCACGAAGTTTTTTTATATTGTTCAATCTTAAAAGTATGTTTAAACTTTCTATTTCTTATAGCACATTCTTGAACAATGTTTATCTCCGATCGAGGTGGGCCATTCTTTTTTATAAGCACTCGATTCTCGAAATTATGTCTATTTGTTTTTATAAATTTCACCAAATACGATACGTACATAAACACTAGTAAATTCACACAGAACCTAAGACCAGTACAGCCAACCTCAAAACAACGAAAATTCGGTTCACGGAACACAAAAATCCATAAAAAGTATAATTTGTAAAGGGATCTCGTGTCTCACTGAGTGTATTCTCACTTTCTTATTTTATATATCGATAAACAAGGATACAAATATATTCAGGTTCATATTTATAAACAGAACTCAGCTGAGTCGGAGTTGGGTAAGTCGTCCTTGAACTAAAATCAAAGTTCGGTTACAACGTCTCTAAAGTTCCAAGTTTTTCCGGTGTCACACTAGAATTTAGAGATGGATATTAGCAAATCTGTAAGTATTAAGTAGGTACATTTACGGATTACTACTCATCTCTAAATTCGCACGATATAACCGATCCCCAGGTAGACGGAATGACAGTTTGTTTGATTTGGTACAGTGTTGCCAGAATATGTTTTTGTTATGTACCAGATTTTTCGAATTCTATTTTTAGTGACATCTAATTTATTGAAGAGGAAAAAAGGGGGTTTTTATAGATAACGAACCCAAACAAGGAACACAATATATTTATATATATATTTTACACGTGAACACTGCCTCAAGCAAAATTTACTACATCTAGTACAATTGTAAATTGTACTAGACTGGCAACACTGGTTTGGCAACCTTGTTTGTGAGCGACGCGCCAATTAATGAGTTCTTTTGACGTTTGAAGGATATGTTGGCGTGTTGTTTTCTCTTTTTAACTTTATGCATTCATCAAATCGTCTCACTCGTGTTAGGCTCACTCATCATAATGCGCCACAGACACAGTATACTTAGGTATTCTATGTCACAGAGACGCGATCAGCCAGAGAGCAATGATGTACCAAAAAATATAGATTAACACGTATGAAAATAAAAATATTAAAATAAATTTATATTTTTGTTATTTATGTAATTTTAAAATAAGTGTTTTTATAAAATTTAACTGGGTGTTCACTGCACAAATGAACCAATGGAGAAACCGCCCCTGCCCTTACTATGAAAATAGACAATGAATAATTAAATTATTATTTTAAAAAATATATGAGAATATGCAGATATCACCCAACGCACTAATTTCTGTACTGTGAATTATTCCAGAATATGCTGAGACAAGTCGGATTTTACTTCTGATAAAGCAAATTTCTATAATAAAAAATGTATCCCAATTTCAACCTTGGCAACAGGGATAGAACTGATAGCTCATTTGAAACTTTTAATTCTCTATTCAATTTAAATTTAAATAAAATCAAATTTGTTTCATTGGTTTTTTACTTTTGAGACGAGTATTTACTATTCTTCAGAGCAGTAAATGAATAAGGTTTTGTGCCCACTTTTAAAGTTTATTGTCTGTAGATGTAGATAAAGAATAAATCTATGCTGATCTGAAGCCATTTTTTCAAAATTGAAAGTTTGTAAGTTTTTGTAACAGATTCAAATTTTGAAAAAGTAGCTCCAAGGAGCACAGATTTAGCCTTTTCTCATACTTTTACTAAAAATGAAAAATAGACTTTAAACGTGGGGTACTATGAAAACACTACATTGGGATATTGCAAGATCTTTTTTTTAAGATATTAATATTTGTGTAGTACAATGTTAATATGCCTACCTATATTTTAATTTAATATGAATTAATAGTCAACAAAAATAAAGAAGCTCTTCTTTGTCTGTCATTTAATTTTTATAAATAAATATTAGATCAAAACACAAATAATGCAAATCTATAAAACATTTTGAGACTTGCTTTAAAAAATTAAAGCTCGGCTCAATTAAACTTCAACAATACAACTTAACACTTCATAATCAAATAAACCCAATAAAGTTTTGGTATGAGGTGCCTCAAATGTTATTTAGGTTTGTGCTGAGTGTTTCATATTTGTGGAATCCCAAACTCTGCAGCTTTGAGCGCCCTCTAGCGGAAGGTATCCGTTCTGGTAAGTTCATAATTGTGGAAACGTCATATCTGGGAGTAATAATTTAGAAATACCAGTTTCGTTTTATTGGATTAGCCATTTTCTCGCTGTTAAAATGGTTGGTAATAAAGCATTTGTGGTAACCTTTCCTTCTAATTGTTTATTGCTCGGAGATCTTATTTAGTTGAATGAATAAGTTTAAAAATATACGTATTTTGACCGTGACGATAATAAATTATGTAGATTCCCTTAGTACTTATGAACATTTTTAAATTTCAGGTTCTTAAATCTGGCAACATTATATTAAAGATATATTAGTCGAATTTGGAGCAAGTTTAAAAAGCAATTAACTTATATTTTCTTATTTCTTAGAACAACTTTAGTAAGAAAAATGTCTTTTAAAGAAACATTAATAACAAACGTTTGTGGATATTTATAAAAGTTTGATGAAACTTTTGTTTTGGTGGATATGTACCTTTAGCATTCAATAAGTATTGAAACAAACTTACATTTATTGGCGTACTTGTTCTTGCAATCGGTCTTTTATTTGTGGTATTAGGACAAGAGTTGGCTAAAATAAAAGCATATTAATTGATAAAAAGGTAATAAGAAAAAAAAATTGTTAACTCACTTTTTTTCATGTCTTCCACGGGAATGATTGCTATTAAAGGACCCTTTTTTGATGTCACTTTTACAGGTTTTAATTTAAGAGGAGCAGCAGAATTTTGTTTACTTTTCACATCTGCATTATTAGTAGTCTAAAAATATAGGGTAGGAAAATTACAGAATCTTGTTACCTGCATTAAATTTAGGTATTATACATATTTTTTTATTACTCATATGCAATGTATTTCGTTAATGAAGTTAACAGTTTTCAACAATTTATATAATATATAGGGTGTTTTATAAACATGTGCTCTAAATTGCTTTTTTTAAGATACAGGGTGTTTGTTAATCGGAATTTCGTTATACTCTTTTGACGATTTTGATTAAAATTGGCAGGTTTAGTTAATTTAAACCACATTAGTGTAAAATTAATAAGTCCGATGGCATCCTGGAAGGCTACTTTTTAAACAAAATTAACATCCTGTATCTTGAAAAAGTAATTTAGAGCACAAGTTTATATGAAATTTTAGTCATAAAATATGGTAAGGGCTAAGGAATTACTTCATTCATTTAATATTTATATGACATTAAGGAACATGTTTAATTTGATTTACATTTGATTAAATTTATCACATTAATAATACAATAATAATAAGTAAATTCTATTCTGAAAGGAGCTTAAACAACCTTGTTTTGAGAATTTTAACTCTCTAAAGACGGATTTTTTTCTTAAGAACGTGTGCTGGCCGGAATTTATTTTTTTTATACTTACACACATCTGTATGCCTATTGTCGCTTAAACGCGACTCCTATTTTAAAACAATTTATGTTTTGCGATGTTGACTGGCGAAATCAACAACACTATCATGATTTACGCATGTTCGCTTGCTTATTGTAAAGTACGCGGTGGTCAGCTGCCATGCGGCGTTGCCACCTGTATCAGTTTTTACCTGTCTCCCTAGGTTCAAACTTGGGTCGCTTATGAGAGACATACGGCTATAAGTTTTGTTCAGAAATGTCGATAACAAATGACGTTCGATCATAATAGGTGCTTACAAAATAACATAAAGATTTTGACTCTCACTGTGCCATTGATGTAGGTATTAGCTCTAGTTATACAAATCAGTCTTTATTATAAGTACTAATACGCCTTTGTAAATAATTGCAATTTACAAAATGGAAATAATGGAAGATGGTGATGCTTTGAAAATAGTAGTTGTCATTAATATTGGATACCACGAAGAATATAAAATATACAAGAAACTATTACTTTTACACTGCGATGATTTAGGCTGACCGAAGAAAATTATCAATTTTCTTGATGAAATTGAAGCACATTTATAGTATAAATATTTAGGTTTCAAACTCAAATATTTTATAGACAATATAATTATAACCATTTTTAAAAAGAGTGTTTTTATCTGCGAATATTTTCTGTGAAACTAACATTAAACTATTGGTAGTATTGGCTAATTTTAATTTATACCTTAACCTCATTTTTTAACGTTGGTATTTCTATATATTTTTTTATATTAACTAATTGAATTAATACTGATTTCACTCTCATTATGGCTGCATTCCATGCTTTATTTTTTACTTCTTAATTCATTTAATTTTTTTAAATAGCTCTGTGGCACAGAAGAGATTGTTCTCTCTACTGCGCCTGTGACAATAATGACTTTCATTCAACATTCAAAATAAAATTCAAATTGGACATTATTTTTTATTTTTCTAGAGAAATCTTGACGTTGCCAAATCAATCTGACATTTAATTAATTGTTGCTTTATTGGCTGATGCGAATTAAACTATGATAAGTAATACTTAAATAAAAAGTTTCCCTTTACTAAGGGTAAATTTATTCTGAAACGGTGCAAATAGCTCTTAAAGGGTTAAGTAATAAGACACACAAATATTAATGTGACTAAATAAATATTTTTTTCTACGATCACTATCGAAAGTAGGGTTTTGCGCCTTGAAAAGTAACTGCAAAATTGACGTTTTCTGCAGTGGCGGCTTGTGACCAAAAAATGGGGGTTCACAATGACTGAATATAGATCTCAGTACAGATTAAGACAAAAAACTTTCAGTGTTTTGGAAAGAGATATTATAAACCCTAAAGTTTTTTACCTAAATATGTACTGAGATCTATATTTTGTCATTGTGAACCCGCAATTTTTGGTCACAAGCCGCCACTGGTTTTCTGCAAAAGGTCATATTTTGACATTATTGGCGATCTTAAGCGGAAAGTAACTTTGGGGCACGCCTAATTTTATTTATAGATAAATTAGAACTAGTAGGTATTTTAACACAGATTGGGGTCTATTCTGTAAAAATTCCTTTATATTTAACGGCCTTTAAAAATATTGGCGGCCTTTAAAAGTATATTTGTATTCGTTAATTTACTTCTGTCATTATTTAAACAGATTTCTTTAAGATAGTACTCTAATGTATTTTAAAGATCCGTTTAAATAATGACAGAAGTAAAGAAGAAAATATTTTTAAAGGCCGTTAAATATAAAGGAATTTTTACAGAATAGACCCCATTATAGCCTAAATATAGATTTTAATTGACTTCCTAAAATTTTAAATCATCTAACAGTATTTTCCGTAAATAATTAAGGGCCATTCACACTGCTTCAGAATAAATTTCCCCTTAGTAAAATGAAACTTATTATTTAAGTATTACTTATCGTAGTTTAATTCGCACCAGCCGATTAAAAAGCAACTCTCTTCTGTGTCACAGGGCTATTTAAAAAATTAGATGAACTAAGAAGTAATAAAATAGAGCACGAGGCAAATTGAGAGTAAAATTAGTACAAATTAAATTAATTAATATAAAAAAAATTATAGAAATTATACTAATGTTGAAAGATGGTGACATTAATCCATAATTTTTTTCGCAAAATTGGATTCTTTTATCGGGATCATCTTCGTTTAATTCCTGCATAAGTTTGATTTTATAAGGATGCCATTTTTCAAGCTTTAATAGTTTGTGTACCGTTGTTTTGCTAACACCGATATCGCGACTAACTTTACGCACAGAGGTGTGCGCGTCTTCTTCAAAACTAAGTAAAACATCTAATGCTGTATCAGCATTTGCAGAGGGACGACCTGATTTGCGTACATTTTCAACCGTACCAGTTTCTCGAAATTTCTTTTCAATCTTACTGACTGTTGAACGCGTTATAGGTCTTTCTGGATATTTATCATTAAACAAATTGCACACTTCCATCTGAGTTCGCGATCTGTCTCCATACCCAATCATCATAAGTATTTCAATTTTTTGTTTTACACTTAACTCCATTTATAATTCAAATTAAATCTAAGCAATAATTAAAACATTTACGAATACCAAAAATATTGTAGTACTAAACTGTCACTGAACATCAATAAATTACTAAACAAATAATGACATTTCACAAAAAACTAGACGACTATGTTTTTTCAAAATTGATAAGAAATAATTTCTTTCATATTCTGTCTGCTAGATCACAAGTCCACCCTGTACCAATTGAAATCAACATGTGATACATTTTTGGAATCAGCTCAGCTAGAGTAATCCTAAAATTGAGACAAAATGGGGGTGTTCCATTTAAAAAAAATGACGGTGACGTCATTACTCGAAAGTAATTCACCCTGTATATTAGATTATTATTTTAAAATACGGTAAATTAAAATCAAAAATCGACGTGTTTCAGGATTATTTCTTAAAATGGTCTGTTTAGCTAAAAATGAATTTGTTCCATACTTTACGGACACACTGTATAAATGTGGTTGAGTTTTAAAAGAGTATATTATTAACATGGTTCAATATTAAGTACCTTCATTTTTGGTCAGAGATTTCATAGAATGAACTACTGAAAAAATATATGCAGGTTCCCTACTATTTGATAGGACAGTATTGCTATTTCTTAAATGGTAACAGATAGAAAATTGGTTAAAGTTTTGTCCCATATTTTGAATCTCCTTGTAGATATCAAAGTTTCTTGGCACCATTTTAATGAGCACAAAACAGCGCAACTTTTGTCTAATTTAAAAAACTTTCTATCTGTTATTTAAAGTAGGCATTGATAGTAGGCATGGTTTTAGAGGTGTTGCTTACTCTTGGTTTGAAAGCTACTTACACCAAATTTCTCACTATGTGGCTCTTAAACTAAATCCAAACAAATGAAATTGGAGTACCACAAGGTTATATTTTAGGGCCACTACTATATATAATCCATGTAAACCATTTTTTGTAAAACAGGACTTGCTCCATATCTTTAAAATATGTTCTGGGGAACGAATAAACCTTATTATTATTGGAAAAATTATTCCTTCTTAAGTTTCAATTTGGATTTAACTCAGAGCCGTGCGTAGTTAACACTCGTTTCTGTCTGTCGACCATGGCATACTTTAGAAACATTTTTTGGGGATCATTCTTTACTGACATATGTGTTTATTCTTGTATACAAAATAATCTACTTAACATGCAGATTTATGTATGTTTTAATTTATTAGTAAATACATATTGAATGTATCTCTGTTATTGTTTAAAATAAAATAAAAGTTATGGGAGTAGATAAGAAACTCATTTCAATTAAAGCACATTTTAAATTAAATTTGTAGAAAAGTAATAAATATTTTTACCTTATTATTATTTAAAGAGCTCCCTGATTTCAGAGAACTTCTTCTTTCTGCTTTTTGTTGCACTGATTTAATGGAACAAAAAGTTTGTGATAAACGTTTTTTTGGTCCACTCTCAGAAGAAACATCTCTCTCAGACATATCGGAAACATTAGCTACTTTATCACAACTTAAAATTTTATTGGAATGTACTGCAACTGATTCATTTTCTGGATTTGAGGAATGGCCTGAATCTTCAGTGTCACATATGTACTGTGAATTGTTTAATAATTCAACCAAATTATTTAATAACATTCTTCCTTCAGATTTTTGTTTCTCACTTCTGTGTGTGTTATTGAATATTTCGGATAAATTGTCTAAAATGTCTTTAGCATCTCTGGATTTACTTGAAGCACTTTCTGATCTGGTTGTTTTAATCTTAAAATCATCAATCTGTGATGTAGTTGGAAACATTTTGTCAATAGCTTTGATTACTGTTTCAGAGTTCAGCCTAGGTGATTTTTCCTTGTCTACTTCACTTTCGTCAAAGTCAGGCCAATCTGGTTGAGGAGTGCAATCCAAAATTCCATTTGCGGGAGCTATTGATAATAGTAAAAGATTATTTTTAAAAAAGCATAGATTTACTTGAAAATAGTTCAGAGGGTAATTTTAAAACTGCATATGAAAATATAAAGTCTCGGAAATACCCCAAGTCCATTCGCTTTCTTTATTGTATAAATGTAAAATAGATGAAACAAAAAGTTACTAGAATTTGGCACGTCCTAGATTAATTACATCATGTTATTATGTCAAAGGCAGTTATCAAAATAATTTTGAATTTGTCAATTTGTTAAAAATTTGTATTCAACAAAAGGGGCGTTTGATTTGAAACTCGATCGAGCGGGCGTCGAGGAGACCGAGAAGTGATGACGTCACAATAGAGCATTGAATCAAATCAAATAAAACAGAGTAAAAAACATAACCTCGCTTTTCTGTGAATCTTGTTTCTGGTTTGTATGTTAAAATAGTGAGCAAAAAGTAAAGAAAATGGAAAAACTTTTAATAATAAGGGGTAATGGCCCTGAAATGCAGCATTTACCACAAATGCCCGCTTCGCTCTCATACTCCATGACTGTGATTACTGGTGATTAGATCTGGACAGAAAAAATGTATTTTCCAAACACACATTTTGTTTTTTTTATGATGAATAATTTTAGCTATAAGACAAAAGCGGCTAAATAATTTGTTGACTTCTTGACTGGTCTTTAATTTTGAGATTCAAATTTGTTTGTAATTTAATTAAAAAGAGATAGGTAGAGACAAAGACAAATTTCTCCCTCTTCTCGATCTTTCTGCTCGGGGGGGGCTATTTTCAAACTCGAGAGAATTCATTTCTCTCAAGAGAAATGTCATACGTCAACGTAAAACCGTATTTTTAGGGCTCTTAGGGCCAGTGTGAACTCACTGACTGTTTCTCTCGGTTTATTTAGAGAGAATTAAAATCTTCCTAAGAATTTTAATCCTCGATGCCTTTAAAAACAACATTTCCACATTGACGTATGACATTTTTGATGAGAATCTTGAGAGAAATGAGTGCTCCCATACTTTGAAAATAGCCCCCCTGAGAACATCGAGCTCGCTCTATGTTCTCGCTCCAAAGCGAAACAAACACTTTGGGGATCTCGCGGAGTGCCAATTCAAACACTTTTGAAGCGCTCGGAGATCTCCGATGATCAAATCAAACGCACCAATAATGGTGAAACGATTTAGTTGTCAATCAAAAACTTTAATCCTAAACGTAGTTTCCTATTTTAAGAGACAAATCTATTTGCGAGGCTCTTGGAAAGAGGTTCAATCAAATGGCTACAGAGGCATTAAATATTTCGAGGAAAACTATCTGTAGACTTAGTAAATCAACAAATTCTGATACAGAGTATGTGAAAATAAAGTCTAAAAAAGTAAGCCGAAGTAAAACAAAAGTCAATTCTTTAATATTAAGTAAGTTGAGTCAAGTTATATATAAGATGTACGAAGGTTACATAAACGATTTTCGGAAAATAAATGCTTGATGTGAAATGTTCTGCACGGTCAATTAATACAAGGATTCGAAAAATTGGCTTTCATTTTAAAAGAAGTAACAACAGACAGTTTTTTTTAGGAACAAACATCGATTCGGTTATATTATGTTATGTTGGGAATGGGGTGTTAATACACTGCAATCTAAAAGATCTATTGTGTCCCTTTCTGTCGCTAATGCAGCAAGGAAATGTTTCAGTGCCTATAACAACCCTTCCAATTCTATCTTCTCAAGGAAGTGTGGGATTTGGAGTGGCTTCAAGTTAGGTAAATCTCCCTCTTCTATTTGATGTGCTCCTATGTATAGTGCCCTTGGATTCTGGAGTGCTACACATTCAGTCAGAATGTGACTGGAGATTTCGTCGTCATCCTCCTCACAGAATCTGCACTCACTATCTTCTACTCTTCGTTTATTAAGGTGTCATTTTAGTCGGCAATGCCCAGTAAGGATCTCTGTTACAATAAGTAGCATGTTCTTGCTCAGGCAGATGCAGGCATCCGATCTTTTCTGGTTATATTCTCCTAATATTATGTTACTGCTAATACCGCAGAACGGCTCAGGTCCCACAAAGGGTATTTGAGTCCCTTTCCTTGCGAGACTATCGGCAATCTCGTTACCCTGTACCCTGTTATATTCCGGGATCCAAGTGAGAGTAACTGTATTTTTCTCGTCTAGCTCAATCATTTTTTCTAGGCATCTCCAGACTGTTTTTGAGCTGATTACGTAAGAGCTCAGCGCTTTGATGGCTGCTTGGTTATCGGACATGATGACAATCTCTTGTCTATGATAGTTTCTCTCGATGTTAAACTGGAACGAACATCGTTTCAGTTAAAAAAAAATGTCGTTTTTGAAAAATTTTAACAAGGAGTTAGAGCTGGGTAACTTTAAGCCTGTATTTATGGATGAGACATGGGTATATAGCAAGGGAAGTGAAAGAAAAAGTTGTCAAGATGGAACGATGGCTGCTGCAAGTAAAACAACAGGAGACGGAATTCGATACATAATTGTCCATGGTGACAATGAAACAGGGTTTATAAAAAATTACCAAAAATATGAACACAGAAAATTTTGAAAAATTATTTAAGACGAAATATATGACTAGTCTAGAACATCCTACTTTGATTATAATCTATAATGCAATACGTGGAAAATATTCATTATTACAGTTGGACAAAAGATAAAACTATAGAATGGTTGCAGGAAAAGAACATTAATTATCCAATCAATGGAATGAAATTTAGGAAGTTGTTCGTCAAAATCTCCCATAAAAGAATTCTACCTAGATAGATATGTTGAGGAATATTGGCTTAAAATATTAAGAACTCCTCCATATCACTGCCAGTACTATGCAATAGAGATGGTGTGGTCACAGCGCAAACGGTTTTATGACGAAAACATTTTAACAACAAAGTCGTCACCGAAAGATGTATTTCAGACTTGGTCAGAAGCTTTGAATAATGTTACCGATACTCAGTGCGACAATTATGTAAGACACACTAAAAACATCATTGTTTCCGATTGGGAAAAATACAAGCAATTAAATATTTCTGATCTATAACCAATTATTATTAATTTAGGTACAACGGCAAGTAATGATGAGACTGAATCAGAGTCCAGTTGTGAAGAAAATGAAATTGATTAAAAAAATTTAAATGAGTTATCCAATAAATATTTTCTGTGCCTCTTGTTATAATATATTTTTTTAACAAAGATTCTGTTTCACGAATTTGCACCTGTTTTGGATTATCTTTAAAAACTAAAAACTCTAAAAATGCTAAAAACCAATGTTCAGCTGGGAAATTTATTTATAAAGTACGAAAGTAAATTGTTATAGTATTTGTAGACAAAATGTAAATCTTAATCTTGATTTTTTTCAAAGTGACTTCTTGTATTCATGTAAACGCATCTTAATAAAGTTTACGCTGCTAAGCAACAACAAAGCGCAACTGAAATAAGAAGACACGTGCCAACTGTAACTAAAAATGTGATACTCTTTTATCAGAAGACTTGGGGTATTACTGTCATTTATTAATGACTTATTTGTCTACCCAGTAAAAATAACAGTTACGTATTAACAAATACACAAAATTATTACCCAATGCATTTCCTTCAAAGTTAGTATTAGAATAGTTTGAATATATATTATTATAAATGTTACAACATATGTAAACATTATTAAAATTATATAAAATAAAAATAGTTGAAAGAAATGCAGGATTTTTTTAAAAGACCCAACTTGAATATCTCAGAATATAGAACTGTCCTAAAAAAATCTCAAAACAAGTAAATTTTTATTGAAAGGGGAAACTATTATATCTCCAACTGTCATATGTCAATTCTTCTGCCCAGCTTAATCAATACAAATTAAATAGGGGAAGTACCAAGTAAGATACATCATTGAATAAAATGGGATAAAAACTGATATGTATTGCAAAGGGTAACACTACATTTGAAAGCTAATTTTATTAGTAATTTGATGGGTACCATAATTTTTGTATTTTGGTTGATTGAAACTAAAGTTTGCAAGGTTTTTCAATTATTTCAATCATGTTTATGTCATGCATTAAATTCAAATATATCTTGCTTTGCATAGAAAGACTGTCATTAAGTGGCATATCAGTTTTAATAGCATGGCAATATTTTGTTGCCATGACTAAATCCTTGTTCAAAGTAGAAGTGGCGAGCATGACGATAGCGTAGCGTTGTCGGTAAAACAACCTAGTGTTACCAAACGCAAAAGTTCTTTGCCGTTTCTACTCTACTCTAAATAAAATTAAGCATCTCAAATTTATTCTGCTGGGTGAGTTGGTTAACATATTGCATATGATCTTTTTTAAATCTTATATCTACAGAAACAAAAAATAAACAACTGAAATAGTATATGTTAATTAGGGTTGCCACCTGTCCTTTTTTCAAACAAATTGTTCTTGTGGCTTTATAAACCTGAAAATGTCCTTTTTAAAAACTATATTTCAATATTTTTCATGATTAACTTATTCGCAGCAGCACCGGCGCACACAGGGGCAAAAAGTATCAAAACTTACCAACAATTCTGGAAAGCATTAAAGCTTATACTTTAGTATTCTGGAATATGTTTAAAGTGTAAATGTATCAAAATAATATCAACAGAGATATTACTGACACTATATAGGGTGTATCATTATAACTGACACCTTTTAAATTAGGTATAGGCTGTTCCTTAAGAAGTTGTGAGAAATTCAAGTAGTAAAACAGCTTATTAGGTATTAGTAGATATATTAATTACTATCTTTTATATCAAAATTATCCCTCTTTGAAATTACATTATTTGTTGAAGACAAATTAAACTCAAGAGTGGCGACAAAAAAATAAAACACAACAGAATATTTTGCTACACACTTCAAACATTATCAAAATACTAAATTAACATTTTTTTTTTTTAATTAAAAGACTTTCATATTATATCAGTGGTCTGAGAATGTATTAACTGAAAATACTGATAATAAACTTAGGTCTATAACTCAATTGAACAAAAATTATTTAAAATTAATATTTAATCAAAATTACAATCCAAAGAGTTATCACTATCAGAAACATGACTAATTTGGTCATCAACATCCGGTGGTAGTAACATGGATAAAGCTTCGCTAGAAAAATTATTTTTCTTTAATTTTTGAGTTTTTTAATGCTAATAATAACAGGCTATGAAGAGAGAAGAAGTCTCTTGAAAACATCTTCATTAGTTTTCTGTCGAGCTATTTTTCTAGCAAAGCTTTCTCGATATTTTTTAAAATTACATAAATTCCCGATGATTTCTCTTTTTTTTTTAACTTTTTCTTTATCAGTAGCGTTTCTAACTTGCCAACATTTTACTGGTAGTTTATATGAAAGGTGCAAAATATACTTTAAAAATGTTTATATTATTAAGGTTACATGCAAGCTTGACTTGTTGCACAACTTTATATGTCCATTTCTCTAATTAAATTATATTGATTACGAGATAAGTTCACTTCCACTAAAACTGAAAGTGCCTCCTCTGGTAGCAATTGTGTTTTAGTATCTCAGGTCATAACTTTATTTAAAGCAATTATATATTCAGTAGCTCTCGCACGATTCTTATTTCTTGTAGTAGTTTGGAGGCTTGCATATTACCAGATTTTCTGAGCTCCATTTGAGCCACATAACAGATAACCTCAACCGAATTCTCCTTGTGCAAATCAGCAGTTTTCCGACGCTTACTACTTTCGCAACTAAATGAAAAATCAGTCAACAGGCGGCCAATTTTTGTTTGATCTAATCGTGTATATAGTTGGTTAAGACCACTTTGGTATCAAGCTAGGTTTTACTATTTTCAGAAAAACTGACATAACTCTGCAAGCTTATTGCCACTTTGTTTTAAAATCAAAATTAAATTTTGAAATTTGGTTTAAAATAATTTTAAACTTGGGCAATTTGTTAAATTTTTTATGTATTCTTTAAGATATGTACATGTCGGTTTTTTTTTTTTTTTGAAGGACATTTTTCAATCTTTTCCCACATATCTCTTCGACTAATTTCTAAGTTCAAATAAACTAAAACAACACAAATATAGAGAGCAAATTTATTTACTTTAGGAAAAAATCATTTCATTGTAGAAACAGTTTTTACAACAGTGCGGAAAGTAAACCCTTATCAAGACAGACTGAACTATCTAAAATTAACGTACCGATAAATTCCGATTTAATTAGGGTTTTTCATAAGCTGTATATTATAAACGAATAAATGTAATAACTTGGATCACGCATGAGGTAACAAAACATGAATTAAAAAAAATTATAAAAAAAGTTGACCAACTGCCAGTTCTAGTAATAGGGTTACAAAATATCACTCTCTTGCGCCTGCCTAAATTATGGCATTATAAGTAAAAAGTAGCAGCTAATTGCAATACCACTATAAATAAGAAAGTTCACGAAAAGAAACTATGCCAAATTCTACACTGAATAGGGCAGAATTTGCTACTTTTTGTCTAAAAGAAATCCTAGGTCTGAATAAATTTGTTAATTTTTGCAGCTCATGAAAATGCCTTCTTGGAATAAGAGTAAAATACAGCAATACAATAATAATCTATTTACCACGTCGATTATTTTTCATAATTATTATCAAAGTTAATTCAATTATTATAGCACAAGGAGTAGACCGAGTTTATCAATAATAATTGCACTCAAAAAATTACAGAAATATACTCATTTAAGACGCTATTTTTGACAAGCTTTATCTTTTGTTTTATCACGCAGACAATCCAAGGCTAATGTGACTTGGAAAGAAGGATTTATTGCATTAGGTTTACTGTGGTTATTTTTGTCAGTTACCTTAATTTTGGTTTTAGAGTTTTTGGCCCACACTTTCCCACAAATGAAACCCAGTCCCACTACTGTTTTTGCAAACGGACTTCATCATTTTACATGTGTGCAGCTGTCGACAAGTTTGGTTATTTATTTTCAATATTCCAAACCAAATAATTTTCTGCAGCTAAAACCAATGTTTAAAGATTATACATTTCTAAATTATTTTGGTTATTTTGCGGTTTCATTGTTATTATTTGAGGTGATGCAGAATTTAGAATGTTAGAGATTGAAAAATAAAACCAAATTTAAGGGTATTAAAAAAATGGGAAGTTGTTTTAAACTGCTTTAAATACTCCAAATGTGTTTTCCCTAATTTCATATTTATTAAGTGTATCTGCTAGTTCCGCATTTTCTGAGCGAATTTTGTCTGTGATGGCAATCAAAGGACGCGATAAAAGAAATCTGTGGTCCACAGACTAATCCTCTCAAAGCTTATTAATATATTTTAATTTTTAAGAAAATTGTCATAAATTTTACAACTTCATAATAAAAACAAGGCTGCTTTGGAGGCTGCAAAATCAAATAAAATACTATTTTTCTGCGATCACTATCCAAAGTAGGCTTTTGCACTTTGAAATACAACTGCAAAGTTGACGTTTTACGCGAACGAACATTAAGTGACAGTTTTGTCGCTCGCCGAGCGGAAAACTTAACAGCTTTGTTGTTCGCCTAATTAAAATTAGATGTAATATAATAAGATTTCTTTTTAATAAATGATTTTCAAGTTATTTGTACGTAGTTTGATGTTTTTTTGTTTTATTATCCAAGTTAACATTGACTTTGAATATCAACTCCGTTTTTCATGATTAATGTAGATATATACAACACATTATACACTACTTATAACAAATTTTCTGTTTTTATATCTATTTCTTAAAATAATGTGAACTTAGAAAAAATCTTGTGTGCATTTTGTGCGAAAAATTGGTTGCTGCTTTCGACAGATTCTGTTTCTGTTTCAACTGGCAAATTATCACTTTTTGCTCTTAAAACACAAATAGTCCTTTTAAATTCAGTAATCCCTAGAGGTATGGTTTCGTTTGTGCGTCTGTTGCATACAGAGGATGCACAAGTTTTTAATATTTTTCAGTTTTTAATATTTTAGTTATGTTTATGTTTTTTTATTCAATTATGATGTAACTACCTAGTTAAGATATTATTGTTCAATAATAAGTTATTAAAAAGTGAAAAAACTGCCTGCTGTGCATTTTAAGCGGTTTACCATGATACCATGCACTAGCGCCCTACTTGCATTCATAAAGCCGGTCTATCTAAGATTTCTTTGAAATGTCCTTTATTCACTTTTCAAAAAGATGGCAACCCTATTGTTAATTGTCACATACAAATTAAAAAACTTGTAAATAGGTGCCACACACTTAAGGGGGCGTCCATTAATTACGTGAGGTATTTTTGATGATTTTTTGACCCCCTCTCCCCCCCTGGTGAGATTTCCTAAGATTTTCCTCAACTCCCTCCCCCTCCCCTAATATCTCGTGAGATTTTTTCAAAATTTGTGTTTTGGGTGTAAATGCGTTGGATTATTAAAAAAACAAACACAATATGTTTTATTACTTTTATTTTCACACAATTTTACACCGTTTTCTACTAGAAAAAAAAATACGTCAGATTTACAAAGACCCCCCTCTCCCCCAAGTGAGATTTGGAAAGATTTAGCTTGATCCCCTCCCCCCTTGAACACCTCAAATAATTAATGGACCTATGGTTTTAATTTAAGATATTTTCCCATTAGTTGTGAAACACCCAGTGTATAAAAATAGGAACTAAGAATTAATTATTTCTTACCATCATCATTTAAAAAAGAGCCATCAGCAATTTTCTGGGCAAGGTGGTTTCCTTCAATAAACACAGAATCGTACTGAAAATTTAAATATTACAGCAAGAGAAAATATAAATTTTAAACAGATGACTTACAAATATATCCTCTTTATCATCAAATTTCAATTTATTGCCGTAAATACTGGTGGGCAAAAAATTAGTTTTAATAGGTCTACCTGTGCTCCAGAAAAATTCTTTTTGATTTTTAACTTTTAAATCATTGCTTAATGGTTGAGACATACATCTTAGGCGATTTTCTTCATTAGAGGTAGTCATTATTTGAGCATTGTTTAAAAAGGATTGACCAGCAGAAGAAGCAACAGAATTGTCACTCTTCGTTAAAACAAATATTTTGGATGGCAATTCTAAGCTGTTACTGTTAAAAGATGAATTTGAATATTTCGTGGGAGTCATTAAAAAAGCGGTATCCAAGTTTCTGGTAAAATTAAAATTTTTTGGAACAGGTGAAAGCAATGATATACCAGGAGAGTTGTCATCTTGAATCTCCAGATTAACATTTAGTTGGTCTATATGTAAAATTCCCAGAGATTCTCTTCCTAAATCAGAGTGCGGATTTAGAGATTGGAAATCAAATTGCGAATTTAGAGATTCCAAATCAAATACGGTGACATTTAAAAAGTTTGAAGAATTTTGAACATCCTCGCGAAAATCCAATGATAAAATGCCCAATGACTCTCTGCCCTCCTGAGTGGAAGAAGATAAAAAATTATCTAACTCGCTGATAGATTGATTTATATTTGGCGATTGTATACTAAATGTAGTCTCTAGATTATTCAGTAAATCCATTTTCACGGGACTTAAATAGTTAACCATTTTCGGCTGAAAATATTTTTAAAAAGTCGTTATATTTTAATGCATTTTAATATATTATTAAAACTTACCATTTAAGCAGACATCTTCGACCTACTTATTAATTATTCAGACGTATAAAACAAGCACTTTTTACATTCCACAACTCGTTTTTTTACCTACATTTAAAAAAACAATTTAAGTTCTTTTCAAACCACAGCAAATTATTAAAATCAACATCAACGATCAACTGAAAAACATGACATCTACGTCAACTGTCGCTAGAAACCTACAGAGTGTCTCTACATCCGATTTCGGGTAAATTTAAAGTTATAAATTTCGTTTTTTAACTGTTTTTTGTGTACTCAAATGGAATAATGTGCTTGAAACTATAAAATGTTAGTTATGAAATCATGACTAAATAGTAAAGTAGTATCTAATTAGCAGATAGAAAATTTACCAGAAACAGGAGTTGGTACTCAGTAGCCATATTTTATTAGTCCAACAAAAATCAGGGCCGTATTGAAATATAATGAATATAATTATTTTTGAATATTTCTTTGATTTTCTTTTATACATATATTTTTTTCAATTTATTTGCAAAATTTATTGTTATTATTCTCTTTACATAAATAAAAAAATGTAGGCCATATTTAAGACCAGTGATAAAAATATATGAGAAAATTGTAAATTAATTTATCGTAAAATCGAAATCCAAAAGTCAGAGAAAAATCTGAATTAAGTAATTTATTCATAATTACAGTATTGCTATTTTTTAAACGGTAGGTAACAGATAGAAAGTAGGTTAAATTAGACAAAAGTTGCACAGTTTTGTACTTAATTAAAACGTGCCAAGAAACCTTTGATATCTACAGGGAGATTCAAAATATCGGACAAAAAATTAAAATTGTAATTTCTTTAAATTCATTCGTTTTATGTTCGATATTTTGAATCTCTCTGTAGATATCAACGGTTTTTGGCACCTTTTTAATGAGCACAACACTGCACAACTTTTGTCTATTTTAACCATGCAACTTCATCTGTTACCAGTTTTTTTTTTTTTTTTTCGATTTATGGCCTAGGTGTATATACCTAATATGCCAGTCTCAAATTTGTGTTTAAATTCTCAATCATGTGTGTTCTGTGTAGGCTTTGTTACTGTTTCCCAGCGCCACTTTAGGAACAGCACTGTTAATTAGAACCCAACAGTGAATGGTCGAGTGGGGAATCCTACCAAGGCATCAGAATTAATTTTAAATAATTAAATTAAATGAAAAAATTCCGGCCAACGGTGGGATTCGAACCTGGGACCCTTGGATCCACAGGCACAGGCTCTAACCACTGAGCCACCCACCCCCCCTGTTACCAGTTAAGAAATAGCAATACGCCTAGTTCAGTGATGATGAAATTATGGTTCCACTGACAATTAAAGTGACAGTAGATTTTTTGAGTGCGTATTGTTCGTTTTGTTTACTTAGCATGGATTTCAGAGAACAGATTTCACAAAAAAATTATTTATCGAGGTTTATGTTTTTCTAATTGAGGATTACTAAATCTAAAAAGGCAGTTTGGGGTAAAAATCGGCATTTCTGATGGGGCAAAGATCCGCTGCGGACTTTTGCCCCCTATTGTGCGGATTCTTACCCCTTTGGCGGTGAATTTTGGAAAAATATTTTCACTCGTGCCCAGAATGACCAATTCATTTTTTCAGGACCTATAAGAGAAAAAAGGAAAGCCTGAGGCCATTAACTGAGGATCTTTTAAGACAAATTAGGCAATTGCGTGAGAGAGGCATATCAATTAGGGAAATATGACGGAAACTTGGGTACGATGAATCAACTATTCGGAAACGGCTTAAGGTTGGTAGCGGAGTAAATTCCTTGGGACGGTTTCGGGCCGTATTTAATGAAGAACAGGAAAAACAAATAATAGATTATTGTAAAGCATTAGATTTGCGCTTTTACAATGTATGAAACGTAATCGTCTTTCACTTCGTACTCCTAGAAAAACCAGTGTAGCTAGGACAATGGGGTTCAACCTGCAGCAGTTATCACAATATTTTCAAAATTTGAAAACTGTCCTTGACAATGACAAATATAAATTTCCTCCCAACAGAATCTAATATGGATGAAAGTGGTTTTCAGACCGTCCCAAATAAATTGCCTAAACATGTAGCTCCCACTGGAAAAAGTAGCTAAAAATGTGGCTGCTGAGCAGGGAAAAACTGTGACAGTTACATGCTCTATGAGTGCTACAGAGGACACTATGTATCCCCGTTCTTTATTTTTGCACGCAACAGATTAAATCAATCATCTATTCATAAAGGATGTTCCAACTGGTTCTGCCTTAGCTGTAACAGATTCTGGCTACATGAATTCACTAAAATTCCTCGATTATTTGGAGCCCTTTCGCAAGCATACGAATCCTTTAACTGATAGTCCTGTTCTGCTAATATTGGATAATCACATTTCTCATACCAGTTTGGAATGTATTACATACGCAAAAAGGAACAATATACATTTGCTTAGTGTTTCACCACATATCAGCCACCGCACACAGCCATTGGATAGAAATTTTTTTAGAGCACTTAAAGCTTAATATGATGATTTGTGTGATAACTGGACTACATCAAACCCTGGACAAGTAGTGACAAAATACCACGTCGCTGGATTATTCAAGCAAGCCTACGAAAAAACAGCTAATTGAAAAAGCTGTTAACGGATTTAAAATGACTGGCATATACCCTCTAGATGAAAATATTTTTACAGAGGAAGATTTTCTACCTGCGTCAGTAACAGACCAGGAAAGAGAAATAGAAGATGATGTAGATATCAATGATGAAGACATGCACAGAGAAATTGTATTTGAAGAAGACGTACAACCTCAAAGCGATAACGAAGCAGAACATTTTGGCAATGCTGAGAAATTCCTAGATGAAGATGATGTTTCAAATGCTCCATAATCTCCAAAAGCCAGATGTGTTAAAGAAGACGATTCCCAAAAACCTGGTTGTTCAAAAGAAATCCCTGAACAGTTTTCTGTAACATTACCGTCAGATATCGTTCCTCTGCCATTACTTACTAAAAAGAGAAAATGAACAAGAAAAGGATTGAAATCTACTCTCTTTACCTCAACACCTAATAAGGAACAACTGAAATACTAGAACAGGAGAAACGAAGAAAAATCGAAATGAAAAAAAGAAAGGAAGCCATTAGAAGAAATAAAACAATGGTGTGAAATAGTTTTGAAGAAGAAAGAAGCAAGCTCAAGGAAAATTAAAATCAATCGTCCTCTAACTCAGATATTCAAATGTCCCTTCATGATAGCAGCAGCGATATGAATTACTCCGAAAGTGATTCCGAATTAAATAGTGGGTCATCTGGGCTAAACGTAGGGAAGTTCGCTGCGTAGTAAAAGTTTATGGAAAAACGAAAGACTCATTCCGACTCTACGTAATTCGGATAACTGCAACAGAAGATGATGGTTGCCATGGACTTTTTTACAAAAGGCCACCTAACACAATACGCTTTTCAGAGAGAAAGAGTTTTATGTAAATAAAACCGACATTGTCAGGAAACTTTCCAAGCCATTGCAAGGTAGTTCTGCAAGATTTAAGGACTGTTAGTTTATCTACAGATTTAAGCGAATTAACGTTGCATTAGTTTAATGTCTTTATAAGTCTTTATAAGTCTTTATAAGTCTTTATAAGTCTTTATAAGTCTTTATAAGTCTTTATAAGTCTTTATAAGTCTTTATAAGTCTTTATAAGTCTTTATAAGTCTTTATAAGTCTTTATAAGTCTTTATAAGTCTTTATAAGTCTTTATAAGTCTTTATAAGTCTTTATAAGTCTTTATAAGTCTTTATAAGTCTTTATAAGTCTTTATAAGTCTTTATAAGTCTTTATAAGTCTTTATAAGTCTTTATAAGTCTTTATAAGTCTTTATAAGTCTTTATAAGTCTTTATAAGTCTTTATAAGTCTTTATAAGTCTTTATAAGTCTTTATAAGTCTTTATAAGTCTTTATAAGTCTTTATAAGTCTTTATAAGTCTTTATAAGTCTTTATAAGTCTTTATAAGTCTTTATAAGTCTTTATAAGTCTTTATAAGTCTTTATAAGTCTTTATAAGTCTTTATAAGTCTTTATAAGTCTTTATAAGTCTTTATAAGTCTTTATAAGTCTTTATAAGTCTTTATAAGTCTTTATAAGTCTTTATAAGTCTTTATAAGTCTTTATAAGTCTTTATAAGTCTTTATAAGTCTTTATAAGTCTTTATAAGTCTTTATAAGTCTTTATACGTCTTTATAAGTCTTTATAAGTCTTTATAAGTCTTTATAAGTCTTTATAAGTCTTTATAAGTCTTTATAAGTCTTTATAAGTCTTTATAAGTCTTTATAAGTCTTTATAAGTCTTTATAAGTCTTTATAAGTCTTTATAAGTCTTTATAAGTCTTTATAAGTCTTTATAAGTCTTTATAAGTCTTTATAAGTCTTTATAAGTCTTTATAAGTCTTTATAAGTCTTTATAAGTCTTTATAAGTCTTTATAAGTCTTTATAAGTCTTTATGTCTTTATAAGTCTTTATAAGTCTTTATAAGTCTTTATAAGTCTTTATAAGTCTTTATAAGTCTTTATAAGTCTTTATAAGTCTTTATAAGTCTTTATAAGTCTTTATAAGTCTTTATAGGTCTTTATAAGTCTTTATAAGTCTTTATAAGTCTTTATAAGTCTTTATAAGTCTTTATAAGTCTTTATAAGTCTTTATAAGTCTTTATAAGTCTTTATAAGTCTTTATAAGTCTTTATAAGTCTTTATAAGTCTTTATAAGTCTTTATAAGTCTTTATAAGTCTTTATAAGTCTTTATAAGTCTTTATAAGTCTTTATAAGTCTTTATAAGTCTTTATAAGTCTTATAAAGTCTTTATAAGTCTTTATAAGTCTTTATAAGTCTTTATAAGTCTTTATAAGTCTTTATAAGTCTTTATAAGTCTTTATAAGTCTTATAAAGTCTTTATAAGTCTTTATAAGTCTTTATAAGTCTTTATAAGTCTTTATAAGTCTTTATACGTCTTTATAAGTCTTTATAAGTCTTTATAAGTCTTTATAAGTCTTTATAAGTCTTTATAAGTCTTTATAAGTCTTTATAAGTCTTTATAAGTCTTTATAAGTCTTTATAAGTCTTTATAAGTCTTTATAAGTCTTTATAAGTCTTTATAAGTCTTTATGTCTTTATAAGTCTTTATAAGTCTTTATAAGTCTTTATAAGTCTTCATAAGTCTTTATGTCTTTATAAGTCTTTATAAGTCTTTATACGTCTTTATAAGTCTTTATAAGTCTTTATGTCTTTATAAGTCTTTATAAGTCTTTATAAGTCTTTATAAGTCTTTATAAGTCTTTATAAGTCTTTATAAGTCTTTATGTCTTTATAAGTCTTTATAAGTCTTTATACGTCTTTATAAGTCTTTATAAGTCTTCATAAGTCTTTATGTCTTTATAAGTCTGATATGAATTTTCAAGAAAATATGTATTTATTGATTTCAAAACAAAAAATTTTTATTTCTTTTCGCAATGAATTTTTCGTACCTAACCAGTTTTATAATTATGCAACTATTTGCGTATAAAGTAGATCATTTTGACACTTTTGCTGCGATTGCATAAAATGTCACTTTATATGTCAAAATTAGAAAAATACATTTGTAAGAAATAAATTAACTACGATACTAGACAAGTATTACAAATTAAAAATTTAAAAAAACCGACTTCAAAAACGTGCAGATGCCACATCTTAACCAAATTTATATGGGACCACCCCTGAGGTACCCCCTTACTAACAAAAAAAGAATCGTATAAATCGGACAAGGTGGTAAAGCATTATCGCTAAACATACATAAAAAATGAAGAGTTTGAGGATTTTCTCATGGATCCAATTATTAGATTTTGACAAAATGTATACGGGACCACCCCTACAGTAGCCTCTTTCTAACAAAAAAGAATTATTGAAATCGGACACCGTGTTAAAAAATTATCGCTGAACATACATAAAAAATGAAGAGTTTGAGGATTTTCTCATGGACCCAATTATTAGATTTTGTTTAAATTTATATGGGACCACCCCTGAAATACCCCCTTTCTAACAAAAAAAGAATCATTGAAATCGGACACCGTGTTAAAGAATAATCGCTGAACATACATAAAAAAAAAAAAAAAATATCGCGACTAATTGATAACCTCCTCATTTTTTGAAGTCGGTTAAAAAGAGCTAACAATATTTTATACGTTTCAGAAATAAGGATAAGATAAGAAAGTGGAGTGAGAAAAGTAAAAAGGTACATATCTTACTTCATGTTCGATTATGAATAGAGTAGATTATAAGATTAGATACCTAATTACAGGATCGTTACATCATACCGGGTGTTCAAATTAAAGTGTTACAGTTAAATAACGCCGAAAATATGCATTTTAGAAAAATAAGTTTCAGACAAAAGTTTTATGGTTTTTTGGGGGAAATATTTTGGCTAAATTCATTTTTTTATAGCTGACCATAATATGGCCATATCGAGGTGAACTTTGTTTTTTTAAATGGGAATCCCATTTTTTTCTTACATATTCTTAAAGTACATAAAAAAATAAGAAACTTTTGAGGGAAATATTTTTTTTTACTCTTTGAGTAACAGCTGCTTGAAAATGTTGCTGCGCGAAAAAAAAGTTTGCCATTTTATGGTTAGCTATAAGAAACGATTTTAGCCAAAAGTTTTTCCCCACAAAACTATAAAACTTTCGTCTGAAACGTTTTTTTTTAATAAAAAGCGGTATATAGCTGTAACGCTTTAATTTGAACACCCGGTATAACATATACAGTTAATAGGCTCCATAATGTGCTCATATGCATTATGCATCAAAAAAGCAAGTGGATATTATTTTTAACAGAAACAAATTGTATAAACGGAATAACTAAAAATATAATGATTTTGGCCAAACCTTATCTAACTTGTTTTATTTCCTAAACGTTATGCCAAGATTTAAATTTAGAATTAGGTTAGTTATCTCTCAAGGATGTCTATATGTCGTTGAACTATTCGTATTTGTATTGAAACAGTAGGTAGTACAATTTCAGTAAGTTTAATTGAATTATTGTTCGTCAGTGCGGTAAAGACTAATTATAAACACTATGATGCATTTTAAATTTGCCGCGTAGTGTCTTATCGATCAATCCGATGTTGACAACAGAAACCGGCTGATTGTCAGTTTGTTTCGTTCCCGTTTAGTAGTCCACGTGAGCTAAGGAAAATTCCAGACGCAGTTTGTTTATTTTGGTCGTTGCGCTGCTACGTTTCGTGTTTACCTTAATCTACCTTATCAGAAATTGCATAATATAAAAATAGCGATGGAAAGCACTTTTGAAAAGTTAAAAGAGCTTGATCTATCTCGAGACGAAGTAAACCGTTTCGGTGAAGCATTAAAGAAACCGGAATTCAGGAAGTTGCTGAGCGATTACGTCGAAGAAATTTCCGATCCCGAAAATAAGAAACTCTACGAACAGGAAATCACCGAATTGGAGAAGGAACGAGGAAACGATATTACCTTTATTCATCCGAAACCAAATTACGTTATTAAAACTAGTGTAAACGGTAATAAAAAAGCCTTTATTAATATATGTGTCAACGATCTCGTCAAAAAACCGACCTCGTCACCTACTGTCAAGGATGGGGAAAAAGGATTAACCTGGCAGTTACCACATTCTTTATCACCGCCTAGGGAAGATTTGGATAATAAGGGAGTACGTTGCCAGGTATTTGATGTTATTTTTCATTCTGATACAATGCATTTAGCTAGTAAAAACGAAGCTTTTCGTGATATGGTTAATAGAACAGCTCTGGAAGCTGTTGAAAACAATTTTAATGTATCGCTGGATAAAAAGAACTTGAAATTTCCTAAGTTATCTTATAAAGGGGTAGCTCATGCTAGTGTAATTAGAAAACCCTGTAAAAAACCAGATCATTCACCTGAAGAACAAGAATTTTTAGATAAATTATTTGCTCAATCAGAAAGTCCACAACCAAGTCCTAAAAAAATTAAAAAACCTACCAAGAAGATCATTGATGATGAAAAATCGAAATATACTACCCCACAATACCTAATCAAACATAGAAGTTCTTTAGACATGGAACAATTTACTGAACATAAGGGAGCCAAGTTAAATGTAGCAATTCCAAAAGAACTTATTGTTGAAATAAATCTACCCCTCCTGAAATCATCAGTTGATATTAATTTAGACGTTACAGAAAAAACAGTGCAGCTTATTAGTGAAAAACCTGCAAGGTACAAACTAAATCTAACTCTGCCATATCAAGTCAATGAAGCTATTGGCAATGCAAAATTTGATAAAGATAAGAAGAAATTAGTTATCACACTCCCAGTGAAGCGTACTTCAGCTACAATAATTGATTTTAGCGATAGTGGTGTTGAAAGTGATCAGTGTTCTCCTGGAACTCCAGAGTCTGAGGAAGAATTTGGTGAAAAACAATTGGTGAAAGAAATTGTAACTAGTGAATGCAGTGAGTTGTATTTAGAAAAATCTGTTGATTTTAGGACTAGCTTCCTTGATGAAAATTTGCATTATAGTTTACCTGAATTTACCTGTCATGTATTTGAAAACACCATTGCATTTACTCTTAATATTAAAAATGTTGATGATAAGTCTGTTGAAAAAATGTTTTCTGATAAAGATTCATCTGTCCATATAAAATTTACTAGCATAGGTTCTAGCTTTTATCCCATTCATTATGCTTTTTATGTGAAACTGCCACAGCATAAGATTTTTGAAGAAAGTACAACTGTAGAAGTGTGGGATAACAATGTCATACTTCAAATACCGGTTACTTGTGATATGCCCATAATGTCTTACTTTTTTGGTTGTAATGAATCTAATTTAGCAGAAAAATATGTAGAGGAGCCTGAAATTATCAATCAAGTTCTGGATGATGTTAAAGAAGATGAAGAATATGAATTGCAGGAAAATGAGCAGTTTATTCATGGAGAATCAGGTAACTTTAAATATTTTTCTACTTTGAACTTTAAAATGGGTATTTGCTTATAAAATATTAAAAAAATATATTAAGTAATTTTTTTTCTAGAGTAAAAAAGTTACCGTAAAACAGGATTACCTACTTGATAACACTTTTTGGAAACTGAATTCCGCTGACAAAAAACCTCTGGGTTCGAGCATATTAGAAAAAATTTAGTCCTTACCATTTTGCAAAAATATATATATGCTCAAAGTGATAATTTTCAAGTAATAGCCCCATTTTGCTTAGTTTGTAGAGGCTACTTGAAAGCAAAAAAAAAATGAAAAAATATTTTTGCTTTGATGCATCAGTTATTGACACATAATGGTGTTTTCTCATACACCATGTACCACAGTAGATGATCAAGATCAAACTACTGTGGCTCTCTTAAGCCCACAGCTAACGTAATTTCTTATGGAATATTAGAACCACTTCGTCTGTAGTAAACAAAAATCTGATGTGTCCAACACATGACTTTCCTATCTAGTTATTATAGGCTTTTTCTGGTTATTTTGTACAACCTATTGCAGCACCTCAAAACATTTTTCTATAGATATTCATTGAAAACGAAAATACTGAAAAATTTAAATTTAGCACTTTTCCTACAATTTTTCCATTACGGTCCATTTTAGAAAAATTTATAAACAAAAATTATAGAGATCGATATCGCAACCAACTTTTAGTTCAACAATTTTCATAAAAATCAGAATTTTGCACATTTTCTCAAATTTCTCGAATACGGACCATTTCAGGAAATTTTGACATAAAGCAAAAATTATAGATAATAATATTAGAAGTAACTTTTATTTGTACAATTTTCCTCTCCAAACATAAATAACATATATTCCATAAAATATAAAAACGGCCTCCCATAAAGTACCCCCCAGATGTTCCGACTTTGTCCAAAATCTAATCATTTCACGTCAGTTTAATGTTTTTTTCTTTATCCGTTTTTGAGTTTTATTCAAAATTTACACATTTACTCAAATATCTCGAATACAGTACATTTTAGAGAACTTATGTATAGGATAAAAATTATAGAGAATTATATTACAAACAACTTTTATTTGAACAATTTTTATAAAAAATATTTTTTTTACATTTTGTCAAATTTCTCGAATACGGACCATTTTAGGAAAATTTTGTATAAAACAAAAATTATAGATAATAATGTTAGAAGTTACTTTTATTTGAAGAAGTTTCTTCTCCAAACGTAAATAACATATATTCCATAAAATATAAAAAATACCACCTATAAAGTACCCCCTAGATGTTCCAACTCTGCCCAAAATATAATCAGTTCATTGGACGCTGAAATAAAGCTTAAGTTAAAAATTTGGTGTTTTTCTGTGTATGATGGATACAGACAGAGACAGACAGACAGACAGACAGACAGACAGACAGACAGACAGACAGACAGACAGACAGACAGACAGACAGACAGACAGACAGACAGACAGACAGACAGACAGACAGACAGACAGACAGACAGACAGGCAGGCAGGCAGGCAGGCAGACAGACAGACAGACAGACAGACAGACAGACAGACAGACAGACAGACAGACAGACAGACAGACAGACAGACAGCCAGACAGACAGACAGACCGACAGACAGACAGACAGACAGACAGACAGACAGACAGACAGACAGACAGACAGACAGACAGACAGACAGACAGACAGACAGACAGACAGACAGACAGACAGACAGACAGACAGACAGACAGACAGACAGACAGACAGACAGACAGACAGACAGACAGACAGACAGACAGACAGACAGACAGACAGACAGACAGACAGACAGACAGACAGACAGACAGACAGACAGACAGACAGACAGACAGACAGACAGACAGACAGACAGACAGACAGACAGACAGACAGACAGACAGACAGACAGACAGACAGACAGACAGACAGACAGACAGACAGACAGACAGACAGACAGACAGACAGACAGACAGACAGACAGACAGACAGACAGACAGACAGACAGACAGACAGACAGACAGACAGACAGACAGACAGACACACACACACACACACACACACACACACACACACACACACACACACACACACACACACACACACACCACAGTCATCATCGCGAAAATAGTCAACACAGATTCAGGGGACCTCAAAACGTCTGATTCCTATACTTTCCTTGTATACAGATAGGAAAGTAAAAAGTGCTTGTTGGGTCAAAACTAATATTCTAAATATTTTGCAAGAAATCTCTTACAGAGAAAGAAAAAAGAATATTCAAAACTTAAAAACAATCAAAAATCTGAGAAAACCTTAAAAAAAAACAAACTGATTAAAAACCAATTTAAATTAGTTCAAAACTAGTGTAAGCGACTGAATGTAGAAAACATTTATAAATTTCCTAAAATCTTATTTGGCCTATTCTTAATTCATAATAATTATTATGTTCAATTTCATTTTGTTTTTTTAATGAGACCGATGTTTTTTTTTTTACTTTTTCAGATTCTTTCAAATGTTCATAAAAAAATATCGATATTTTTTTGCCAGGGCTGGGGACAATTATAGCTGCAAACTTCTTCACTCAATTGCATTAAATTGCTCCTTTCATACTTTGTCAAATCTTTCTTACTATAAATACAATATGGTCTACTCCTGACCTTTTTTGTAATTCGAAACATTTTCAAAAAAACATCAAAACAATTAGAACAGCTTGTTTATACTGATCAGGATACGGGGTAGTAAGACATATTCAATTTTGTCAATAAACTAAAAAATGAAAATTGGGAGCTTGTCTATGAGACAGATCAATGTGATTTAAATGAACAGTGGAGAAATGTTATCAATAATTTTATTCGTTTATTTAATGAAATGTTCCATTAAAATATTTTAACCTAGGTAAATAAAAAAAGATGGAGCTACTTAAACAATTATCAAATCAAAAATTGTAAAAACCGAATAGACATACTTTTAGCTTTCTCAAAATACAATGAAAATCTAAAAACAGATTATTCTCGATGTTATTATAAAAAAAGAATATAATCAATTATTAATAAATTTCAAAAAGAAGACTATTTTAAAAGGATAGAAATTTCTGATAATAAACCAAAGTGTATGTGGAAAATCTGCAAAGAAATTACTGAGAAAGCAAAGAATCGAAATTGTAAAATTAAAGGTAATCATTTAGAAATAGCAAATGATTATAATAAAAATACTTAATTGTAATATCTTCTAATGTAATATTAAATATTTGCAATGTACCTTTCACTCCTGACACCCTATAAACCTGAAGCAATGATAGTTCAGAGCTAATCCCAATAAGGTTATTGACATTTCTGGATATTTAAAAAATAAATCCAAACAGCTATATTCCAGTATACTCAACATATAATAAAATCAATTAAACAAAAATATCTAGCTTTGGAAATGTTTCTTGACTTGTCAAAGGTCTATGATTTAGACAGTAACATTCGTTGACAAAACTAGAAAGCTAAGGCATAAGAAATAACGCACTGAAGTGGTTTCAGTCTTACTTAACATATAGACAACAAAAGGTCTCTATAAGTAAAGAATTTCAACATGTTAAATTGGATATCGTACTAACATCTGTTGGTATCCCACAAGGGAGTATTGCAGGTCCATTGCTGTTTGTCATATTTATGAGTGACCTTGGTCAATCTAATTTAAATGTATCAATCTCTGTTTATTTTATACAAACTTATTTTATAATTTTAAATTAAAAAATAAAGCTATACTGTTTTCCAATAATTTATTAGGTGATGAAAAGTCACATATTATAAAGTTGAACTAAGTACAGATGCAAAGTTTTTTTAATGTTTACATTGGTCGAAACGTAATATAGAAGAAACAGCTTCTAAATTGTGTAAAATATCATATGGAATAAGAATAACTAGTAAATATTTATAAAAAGAATCAGTGATGTTTCTCTACTTTGTTAGTTTTGAATCTGTTAGATATGAAATCATTTTTTAGGGCTCAAATTTCACTTCTGAAAAAGTATTATACAAAAAAGAGTTAATAGAATAATTAATAAAATATATTTCAGGGATTCATGTACCTTATACAATATTTAAGGAAAATAAAATTATGACATTTTCTGCAGTTTAGACATTTCAATGCCTTATGTATTTATTTAAGAATAGATAAATTTTTGAGTCCTGTTTGGTTAATCATCGCTATGAAACAAGCAATTTAGACCTCAATTATCCATCTCATAGATTAAGCTCTACTGAGAGAGGTCCCCTCATTATATGGCAATAAAATATTTTAACAAACTTCCCTTAACTAATAAAAATTGTATAATTATTAAAAAAATTAAAAATGAAATTAAACAATTACTGTTAAACTTAGAAACTTAGGTAGAACTTGTGAAACTCCAGTACCCACTAAAAACAATCTGCATAGTCTACTATACTTAGTTATATGGTGGTTCTGCAACTGCCATATTTTTATTTTGCATCTAAAATAAATGGTATGTCGGCAGCATGTATTTTAAAAACTTGGTGCATTTAATTTTAAGTTACCCTCCTGTTTTCAAGTAGCCCTGTTTTACGGTTCTTTTAATATACATTTACTTATTGAAATTACCATAACTTATGTTATTTCTAATATTCTCTGAAATCATAAATTCAATAAGATTTCCTACTTATAATCAATAAATATTTCCATTATGAGCTAAAATAAATAAAGAAACGGTAAATTGTTGAATTGATTAATATTTTCATGTTTTTCTATTGAACTATCTAAGAAGATTTCTTGAAAATGCAAAAAATTAAGTTTATAGTGTGGTTCATAAAGTAGCCTACATAAGTACAGTGCAACCTCGATAATCCGAACCCACGCTAATCCGAATTACGCTAATCCGAATTACGCTAATCCGAATTACGCTAATCTGAATGCAAATCGTGATGCGAGATAGTCCGAACGCCGCGTCTGTAATCCGAACGCTGACAGGAAAAGACCTGCAGCA